TTTAGTTGCTAATAAAACATTTTAGTGTGCACTAAGCAACCACATATTTTCAGTGTGCATAAAGCCACCAGCAAAAAAAATACATTTTTGCTGGCTGCTTGAGAGTGCTGGTTTCTTGCATGCCGGATAATGGACAATTTCCGGTATTAACTTGCGCAACAATATTATTGGTGTTATTTTTACATTTAAATACACAATTGTGTATATATGTGACTAATTGGTGTTTTGTTCACTAATTCTAATTTTAGATTTCTTCCCAAACTGCTTGAATGGAGAACCAAGTTACAAATACCAAGTTGTTTTTAAAGAAAATGCTTTCTTTCAATGTCCTGGTATATCATCTAACATTCGAAATAAGGAGCCATCTAATACAGAGAGAGCTCAATGGTTTTCACAAAAATCTGATGGAAGCCTTCAAAAGATGATCAGTGGTATAGACTTGAATGATACAGAATTTGGGATTCTGCTTTGGTTCTCACCAGCAGAAATGAGACACTCTGGAACCTACCTGTGCATGTAAGTGGTGCATTAGCGATATAAATAAGTTAGTCTGGTTATGATAACCATATGGATTATGAGATCTGAAAAGGAACATGTCACATGTGAGGTTAGATAACAGTGTAGTAACGTGGACCACAATTATGCAGATTTCACATATTACATTTATGTAGTTTTGATCTCGTATTTAAAGTGTATGTCTAGGCAGTAGCCAAATTTACCACCAAACCCCCCTCTCTTTCACTTGAGCATGTCCCAGTGTTATTTTTGTTTCTTTTACCGTGTTCCTGTATTGAGAAACATAATGTATTACTCCCTGTTATTTCATCATCAGGTTTGCAAAATTATTGTATAGGGCAGCTGTTGGAAACTTACAGGGTTATTCACAAAAGGGTGAAGAGTTTGGAGAAGGCAGGAGAAGTGAACAATCTAGGACAACATAGCTGAACTGGAAAGTGAGCTGAATCGGAGAATCTTTCCAAATCAACTATTTTGGCCTAGATTGTACACTTCTCCTGCCTTCTCCAAACTCTTCACGCTTTTGTGAATATCCCCCACTGTGTTGTCAGGCAACACCAGAAGTTAGAAGTAAACATTTATTTCAAATTAACATGTCTTTTTCTGTACTTGCAATGTTTTTAAAGGGATGACATTTGAGTAAATGCTTATGTATTAAAGAGATGTACTGCATATATTATTCTTTATTTCACCCTGATATAATCCATAGGTCTCTAAGGCTGGGTTCACACCTGGGCGTTTTTCAGTGCTGATCGAAGTGCTGAAAAACACTCAAGCAGTGAAATCCTATTAACTCCTATGGGCATGGTTCCCACCTGGGCATATTTTAGCGCGTTTTGACACGCTGAAAAACGCCCTACGCCCGAAATAGTACAGGAGCTTCTTTGGGGCGTATTTCAGCGCGTATCCATTGGTATTTCCGAGTGTGGCTAGGGGTTAACAAAGCGGTAATACAGGGTTATTCACAAAAGGGTGAAGAGTTTGGAGAAGGCAGGAGAAGTGAACAATCTAGGACAACATAGCTGAACTGGAAAGTGAGCTGAATCGGAGAATCTTTCCAAATCAACTATTTTGGCCTAGATTGTACACTTCTCCTGCCTTCTCCAAACTCTTCACGCTTTTGTGAATATCCCCCACTGTGTTGTCAGGCAACACCAGAAGTTAGAAGTAAACATTTATTTCAAATTAACATGTCTTTTTCTGTACTTGCAATGTTTTTAAAGGGATGACATTTGAGTAAATGCTTATGTATTAAAGAGATGTACTGCATATATTATTCTTTATTTCACCCTGATATAATCCATAGGTCTCTAAGGCTGGGTTCACACCTGGGCGTTTTTCAGTGCTGATCGAAGTGCTGAAAAACACTCAAGCAGTGAAATCCTATTAACTCCTATGGGCATGGTTCCCACCTGGGCATATTTTAGCGCGTTTTGACACGCTGAAAAACGCCCTACGCCCGAAATAGTACAGGAGCTTCTTTGGGGCGTATTTCAGCGCGTATCCATTGGTATTTCCGAGTGTGGCTGGGGTTTAACAAAGCGGTACCCCCGAGCCACACTCAGAAATACAGCGTAGGTCTTACCTTGTCCGCGATCCCCGCTGTGTCCTCCGGCCGCTGCCGTCTTCCGTCCCTTGCGAGCGGCCGCGTCGCAGGGGGGCGGATCCGGCAGGAAGTTTAAAAAGTTTTTTTTTTAAATCGCAAAAAAAGATAGAGAAAAAAATAAATCATACTGCCAGGTAGGTATAAAAACGAGCGTCGAACGCGCGTTTCATTCAACAAAAAAAGTGCTTAAAACGTGCTAAAAACGTGCTTAAAAAACAAGCATAAAACGTGCCTATTGGGAACGCATAGGTGTGAACCCAGCCTTAGACTTTCGCAAAAAGCTGCATAGATTCAAAGCTCTTGATATTGATTTGTGCCTGAACACAATCAAAATAATGCATTTTAAAATACATAGTAACAATATTTTGGAGATTACTGATTAGATTATCTAATCAGACAACTATTATTCTTATTTACAATCAATCTCTCCTTGATGGCACACTTGCAATAAGGCATTGTGGTATTCTAATTGGGTGCAGCTTAGAAACTAAATCCACAGTGCCCTCTGCAGGCACATAGGCACATATTAACTTTTTATGTAGTGTCTATTTCCTAATGATACACATTGAATATTACATAAAATGCAAAAGACATTGGATTATTGCGTTATTGCAGCATTCAATAACGCAATAATCCAGCACTAATCAGTGCTTCTGATTAGTTGTAAATGGCTTACTTAAACACAGTTTAATGTAGCTAGATACTTATTAATGTTTTGTACATGTCAGAGGTAGAATTACATGAAGTTTCTTACATAACCTTATTGTATATAACCTATAACCGTAGCTAAACAACGCAATGAAACTTTTCACCAGACAATGGCAGCAATATATATATATATATATATTTATTATGCTTCCATAATTTCCTAAACAAGTCATAGGCAGAGCACTAACCATAACTCAATGCAAAAGCAAGGCACTGTAAAAACATGACAGGGTCGTTTGTAGTTACTGAATGCAAACAAAATGTATGTTTCTTGTACTAATTACACTTATTAAGAGAACTCAACTAATAGTAACCAATAGTAGAACTAATAAGACATTAAATTAACATTGCCTTCTTCATGTCTTTACACAGAGTTAATAAAGACTGCATGAAATTAACTGTATTTGTGCAGGACAACTGTATTCTGCCATATGGTTCTAGCAGCTTGTATTTAACAACTGACTCAAAAGGGCTAATTTCTTGCCCTTCACAAGACTGTCAGATAACGAAGAACATATCAAATCTGAAATGGTACAAGGTAGGTTTCTTTCTTAGTTGCTTAACTCCAAAATGACTTACATTCAATTAAATGAGAAATGAAACCTCGGATATGATAGAATGTTACACTTTAAAGTGAACCTGCACTACTGAGAGACTAGTTAGGGCTAGCAATGTATGAATCTGCTAGGGTTTGATTTGCCAAAGCGTTTTTGGGGATTCCCCAAGACTACCCCCCCCCCATGCTGCTGTGGGCACTTACCTTATTTGATGCCTCTTAATCTGATCATCTTGTTAATTCCACTGGTTTCTGACAGTCCCTCCAGCGCTGGTGCCGGTCTCTGATCCACTGCAGACTCCTCAGGTCCCACGGTGTTCCTTTACAACGTGAGCGCTCCCGGCTGCGTCCATTCACTTTCGTTTCTCTTCTCTCCCCTCCGCTCTACTGCACATGCGCCTGCACGCTTCCACCTTCACAGCCATTCGTGAGCCAGGAGATCTTCATCTGTGAGTGAGCAGCGCTGGAACGGGTAAGTAATTAGATATTTGCCTACTTTTTATTTTTTTTTAAATCATGGGGCATATATCTACTGCTTACTAGTGGTAGATATATGCCAAAAATGTAGACTTTAATTCTGCTTTAAGTCTTTGAGGGGTGAATCTTATTGTAACATTCTGACCATTTTTAGGGCTAACAGGCAAACTACTGTAAAAAAGTTTTTAAATAACATACTTGTGGGATGCCTTGAAGCTGTAAATGGTGCTATGGGGACAGCACGATTTTCATGGACAGTCTCAGTTACAGCATACATTGGCAGCACATATTTGTCTGTGGAATTGATTTTTTCTTTTACAATTACCTTGGCTTACATACAGCAGCACTCCAATCTGATTAATTTCAGTTTGAAAAAAAAAGAAGCTTTTGTTAGATAATTTCTTTTCATCAAATGGTAAAATACCTTCTTTGGCCGGCAGATAGAAATTTGCCAGTTGTTCACTGTGGCTATCCCTGTTCTCCCTGATACAAAACTGTCCTGCCACTGGCCAATTTCTATCAAGCTCTCATTAAAGGACTAAAAGACTGCAGATAATTCAGCAATGTAAAATTATCCAACAACAGGACAATTATAATGCGGAAGAACGGATCAAAATGTACTAGAGAAAAAGAGTATCTGAAAGTGTTTTACTACTGAAAACTAAGAGACCACAGATAACCCAGCAATGCAAAATTGGCCAGCAGTAGTACATTTGTAAATAGCAAGGCTAGGACCAAATTAACTAGAGACAAAGAATACAGGCTGTGGCTTTACTACAAGAATTAAGATTCTGCAAAAGATACATGAGTGTAAAAATTGGCCAGTAGGAGGACAGTTTTAATCAAGGATAATAGGCCACAAGGTACTAAGGACAAAGGGCCAGATAAATGACGATTGGCAGTTGTTGAAGAATTGTTGCACGTGACATGGTATTTTAGTAAATCACATGTTAAATAAACTATTATGTGGCAGTGCATATAGGTTATTTATATAACCTTATAAATATTTTAGGCCTAGACTTAAAGGCACAAACCCAACCATAAACCATTTCAAGACAATCATATCACATTGTCCAAGACTAAACTATTTTATTTCAGAGGTCTGCTGAGAGTGGGAACAGAGGGCCTATATAATGTCTGTGGGCATGAGGATACAAAGCCCACCCAAAAGTAGTGTTCAATAGGCTAACCGTTTCTGGGACTGACTGCACAGAAATCTCTAATGGCAAAATGCTAAAGAAAAAAAAGAAAGGGGGGAGAGAAGCAAAGTGCCTGAACTATTCCACATGGTCTCCATTAAATGTTACATACCTGGTTATTAGCTCATAGCCCCTACTGTTTCAGCAAAAGTGTGTGAGGTGGTGAGCATTCAAACTGAATCCCAAAGGATGTTCCTTTAATATAACTGCCTTTTATCATGAAGTAGGGTTTAGTTTTAGGACTGCTATCTGCTTTCTGCTCTTGTTACTACTGCTTAACCAGAAATAGGTCCAATCCATATATAAATAAATAAACATAACTCACACACTAATAAATGTATACTCAGTTATAATGGATATGCAGGAAAATGTCCCTAAATTAAAAGATTATGCTTATTTCTAAAACAGCTTTGTATGTGCTCTATGAATTGCATAAATGTCCATATTAGACCATTAAAGAGCATTAAGTTCTACAAAACAAGCACTTTCTAAGGTGGATACAGCCGGATTTCTGGGACATAACTTTGTATGTGTTATTTTTTGTCCTTTCAGAGTGCAAATTTTTCATCTGTAACTTCCCCAAACCGATATTCTTTAAAAATTATTAATAGCGTTATCCATCTTGACACAATCTACACCTCTGATGCTGGAGTCTACATTTGTGATTTTGATGTTTATCTTAATGGCAGCAAATGGATCGTAAGAGCAAATATTAAACTTGAAGTTGGTTGTAAGTATTTTGCTACATACAGAACTTTTTTATGCATCGGCAGAAGTATGAATATTACTAATGAAACATGTCTAAAGTGGCCAGACTAAACATCCTGGCTGTGTAGTCCATATTTTGACCATTGTATATTTTCTGTGTGCTCATGCATTGGTGGAGACTGTCTGCCAGTGTCTGTAAGACTACGATTATTCTATTTACTGTAACATGATATCCCCTATCACCCCTATTAGGACTGTTTTCGCTATATCATCAAACATTTAATTAATATTTGACACATTGAGATGGTGTATATTGCAATAAATTGATCATTATGTGTATTGAATATATTTACCATTAACATATGTACTGTATAGTACAAAAACAAAAAAAGCCAAAAAATAAAACTTACCCTCCACTTGGCTTGTGCCTGTGGTGCCTAGGTTAGCATTGTTTATTTTCCTGGAAAGAAAGGACATGGGAATGTTGAGCATCCCACATTTTACAAAAATATGCTCCTACACAGTGCTGGAGCATCTTCTTGTGAGATATGGGATACTCATTGTCTCCAGGATCTTGCTGAAAGAATCGTGACATCACCTTTTTCAGTGTTGATGCCGGCAGTAAGGTAAGTATCATTTTTTACTTTTTTAAACCAGGTTTTTTTTTTTAATTTTTTTTTACTGGTATGATATGAAGTTTTCCATTGGGCTGAGGGCCTGTTATGATAAGCAAACCTTGCAAAGTTTTTTTTAACAAATAATTCTTATTCTGAAGTGCTAAATCCTAGTGAATACATGCTTTGCCTATCTAGAGGTTAAATTAACATCATATTTTCAGCTCCTTTTTTGATTCTGTGCTTTTTTGTATAACCTCCTAGCACCAGTATTTTTGCTAGGGAAAAATGTAAACTCAGCCAGAGCAATGTTGACATACAATGTGTGCTACTTATGAAACACTGTTGGTTTTATTTACTTTATATTTTAGTACCAGACACACAAAAGCCTCCAGAAATTTTGGGTCCAGCCAATGAAACAGCAATACCTGCAGAAATTGGTAAGTATACATTTTTATATTTTTTATTTTATAGGTCTAGTGCTGGTAATGACTTAAAATTAAATATTTACCTGAAATATCTGAAAAATATGTGAGCTAACTAATCCTCAGCCCCAAAAAAGCACAAACATGGAAAAAAGAAATTGTGGAAGAGATGTAGCCCACCAATCAACTTCCTTGTTTACTTTTCCCAGAGAAAAATTATGAAACCTGATTGGTTTCTTAGGGTACTTAGTGTAGCCATTTCACACTCTATTTTCTCTTGTTTATTATAAATAGTCCCGATGTACTTTTTCTATATGTTTTTTTCCCTGAGAGAAACCAAATTCAGGCTTTTAGTACCAGGGCTGTAGGCATTTTACCTGCTTTCTGAAGAAGACAAAAAGCACATGTGATATGTACTCACCTCTAATATGGATAATTCTGATGAAAGAAAAACTGCTTATGACATAAGCATTATTATTGGTAAGCAGAGAGTCAGCCAAGCAGATATGCTCACTCTGTCCAATGTATAGTGATCTAGTAAATGAACTAATAAGGTTTTCTCCATCCTAGTTCAATAGTAGATTCTCTAACTTTTTACATAATGGAATAGTTTGTCTAGACTAAGGCTTACTGTGGATTGGTTTGTTTTTTTGCAAATTCTATTCCAGGTGAACCACTCTACTCATCACTATTTGTAATACTGCGGGGTTAACCCTCAACCTGTGTCTACATGGCCACATTTCATTTTATTTTTTTATTTATTCATCTTTTCTGTGCAGGAAAACCCTTAAACCTAACTTGTAGAATTCGATTTCTATATGAAAGATTTTTTAATCCAGTTGTTAAATGGACAAGTATTTATCCTAACTATAAAGAAGAACTTTCTGGAGGAAAAGAACTTTGGTAAGACAAAGCAATATAATGTTATAACATTTACCATACTAACTACTGCTATGCTATCTTATTCCATGTACTGAAATATGTGTGACTGCACCAAAGTTCTGCCTCAAACACCTAGATACAGACACAGCACACCGGGCAGGCACACCTGAATAATGACTCCCTTTTATTCAACCTTTGCCTCTTGTGTCATGTAATTATTTTAGTAGGAGCTACTTTTTAGTTGTTGAGACCTCCAAACAAGAGAAAAGAGAGATGGCTTCATGTATCCTAAACTATAAAGAGTGTTCTGCCACCTCTCAACATCCCTGAATTGCTTTCCTTTACATGCATGCTGAACGTACCCAGAAATATCCGTGGGTAATATAGTCCCAAACAAATCAGAAAAATGTTTCCCTTGTGTTACACCCTCTAACTCATTTTTTCATCACAGAACAGCTGACTAAGGATCCTGCTGTTGCCTCAGAGGACGGTGTGGAGATGTTACAACTAAAGTCTCCTTTACGTTCCTTTTCTTCACTCCCATTCCCCAACACATTGTATGTACTGTGGTTCATTTACTAAATGAATAAAGGCAGTTCAGTCATCAAAATTAATATTCACTTTGCAATGTCAGTGTTAGGAAATAAAGTGAACCTGTGTTTAATGTGATTACCTAATCATGTGCTTAGATAAATTCAGTTTTTTTAAATGTCCCTCACACATAAATAGGTAATTAACATAAACACAAGTTCACCTTATTTACTAACCTTGACTTTGCGTAATTTTTTGTGGTAAATATATAAAAGCATACTCTTATTATTTGACTGTTGATGCTAATACTTTTTTTGTTTTATTGTTTTTTAGCCCACATGCCACCAATATTGGTGAAAGGGAGTGCTTCTTAACAATCAATCTGGATAAAGTAACTACGAATGACCTTGATGCAAAATTTTACTGCTACGCTCAGAATGCGGTGGGCAATATAACTACAGTGGTCACATTGTCATTAAAACAAATAGGTAAATAGGGGAGCCATCCATCCTGCAAAACGACATGTACATTTGGTATGTGTGAATAGGGTGAAAACAAATGTTATTAGAATATTTTCTTTCTTTCAATGTTGAATGTAATATCGGGAAAATACTGCATTGTGGTCACCAGATAGAGCTGATGGTCATGGGAAAAGGGTATTTCCTATGAACCCCAGCTTCATATTTTCCTTACTAACTCTAATCTAATAAATAAATTACATTTGACCAGAAAGAAAATATACTTAAAGCATTTGTTTAGCCCCCTCATTTGCACAAAACACAAGAACATGCAGCTTTTCAAACTTTGTATAAACATACCTCTTTACGTGTCTGATAAAGTACTAAGGCTTGAACTACCTAAAGTGTATCTAAACCCAGGAACAAAATTATAGATTTCAGCCTATCATTCCTTAGTTGTAGTGGCTGCATCAATTTCCTTTGGTGCAGTTATATTTCAATTTATTTTTACCTGGTGAGCCTACCAGTGACACACTTCCTTTTCTATGGTGACAACCCTTACTCACTGTACTATCTATGGAAGAGCATTGGTGGAGCATAACTTGCATACTTGGCTTAGTAATAGACATCATAGGAAGCAAGGCCATTGCTCTAGTGTGGACCCCAAGAAATATTAGAAGCCAAAAGGGGAATCAACCAATTGACAACTATCATGTCAGATATTGCAAGCCTACCCTTTCTGAAATGTGTAGAGTATACATGGGTTAATCAAATGGTTAGAAAACAAAATCGTTTTTTGATAAAAAATATTGGTGGTCATTTGTGTCAGACAGCACAATTTCCATCATTTAGTCTTACAATTTTACAACGCCAGACTTACTTATGCATGATTATCATTATTAACCAGTTTTTAAGAGGGGTTATTTTCCAGTGCTTATATGAGTTATATGTCTACTAACTGCATCAATTGGTCATAGGGATGCACCAATATCAGTATTGGTGCTGATACTGAGCACTTTAACGAGTAGCCGTACACATGAAAATGTCCCGATACCAAAAATCAATACCGGCTATTTTTCAAATTAAGTGGCTGCCTTAGGTTCCACGCTTGCTGGGGACCTCAGCAACTTTCTTGGGAACCACGCAGCACCTGTTTACAGTGCTGTTTACAGTGCTTCCACCAGCCCACACATCTCCCCCCCCCCGAGACCCTCTGCACCCCTTCCAAGACCCTCCATACTGTTCCAGAGACCCTGTGCACCTGAGTCCATCCATGTATGTAGCAATATATTATTCTGCATTGCTGTATAATGTATTACTGGGATTTGTAGCTCTCTATAGCTAATGGTATTATGATAATACCATCAGCTATAGAGGACCTCAAATCCCAGCAATACATTATACAGCAATGCCGAATAGCAAGCGACTATAAAGGACTACAAATCCCAGCAATACAGAGTAATATTATTATTATTCTGGCTACAGAGGACTACAAATAGAAAGCAATACATTATACAGCAATGCAGAATAATACTATTATTCTGCATTGTTGTATAATGTATTGCTGGGATTTGCAATCCTCTGCAGCTGATTGTATTATTCTGTATTACTGTATAATGTATTGCTGGGATTTGTAGTTCTCTATAGCTGATTGTATTCTGCATTGCTGTATAATGTATTGCTGAGATTTTTAGTCCTCTATAGCTGGTGGTATTTTGCATTGCTGTATAATGTATTGCTGAGATTTGTAGTCCTCTATAGCTGGTGGTATTCTGAATTGCTGTATAATGTATTGCTGAGATTTGTCCCTCTACAGCTTGGAGTCAGTGGCAGAACTTCCAGGGTAACAGCAGTCACAGCTGAGTTCAGGCACTGGCGCTCCACCACTGTCCTAAAACTGTTTGTCTGTATTGTTTTAGAAAAACTGTCACATGACAATAAAAACAGTATCTGTAATTGGTATCAGTGAGTACTTGAGAAAAAGTATCAGCACTTATAAAAATGGTATCGGTGCATCCTTAGTTGGTCATCTGTTTATAGTGCATCACTGTACTTATATATGTGTGTTTTTTCTCATCTTAACAGACATTGTATTTTTGACATATGTATTATGTGGATCTGTGCTGCTTCTGATGATCTTGCTGTTAGGGAGTGGATTGGTATACTTTTACTGGATAGAAATTGTTTTGCTTTACCGAAATTACATATCAAAAGATGAGACCGTTGGAGGTAAGCTGTTGAATTATATACTAGAGCATGCTGCACAGATTTCAGTATTGTGCTATATTATGTCATCAAGGCTGTTTTGGGATATCAATATGTTTGGGACAATGATCCCTGTACTAGGCATCTTCAAATGGTAAGAAGAACAACAATGTTTTAAATCTGAAGACAGGATCTAATATTAGGACAATATAAATCTGTAAAATGTTAGAATGCTTTCATATTATAAATACTATATTATTAATATGTTATATACTAT